ATAAAAAAATATAAATATATAAATATGATGTATATTATTACCTGTATAAAGAAGGAATCTGTATATATTGGGGCACTTGGAGATGCAAAAATAGTGGTGGGAGCACTCAGCGGGCGCCAGCTGCGCTGAAACGGGGGTTTTGCTGAAATAGCCATTTTTTTGACTGTGAATCGAGGTTATTTGGTACCAAAATCCCCTGGTTTTGGGAGCTGAGTACACGCAGTTTCCGGAGGAAAGGAAATTTTGGGAGCATGGAAATAAATCCTATAGGAATGAGCGTGTTTCCTTGCAGTATTTTGTAACCTGGTTTGGCTTCGGGTGCAAATGTTTTCTTTCCCTTGCTTCGGCGACAGCATCCCAAGGGGTTAATATACCCCCTTGGAGCTGCACATGCTCAAAAATCAATAGGAAGCCCCAAAATGCCCTTTTTTTTTTTTTTCACCCACCCCCCCCCCCCCCCCCGAAATGGTGCGGGATGGAGGGAAAATGGGCAGAAGGATGTACCCCATCGCCTGCATCTCTGGTACCCAAAGCCCTCTCCATCCTCGACGGAGAAACCCGGGGCCGGGGAGGTGGAAACTTGTCCGAGGACTAAATCAATTTATGATGCAATCCTCTAACCGCCTTCAATTTGATTTTTCATTTGTAGCATTACAATTATCAGATTGATATTCCCGACCGCTCAACCTTGAAATGGGACGGCACGGCTCCCGCTGCCGGGGAGCAAAGATCATCCGCCCTGCACCCGTTTCTGAGTATTTTTCTAATTAGCCATCAAACGTGCTTTGCCTGGTTTGTCTTTCTTTGCCCTTAAAGTCTTTTCTGATTAAGTTTTCTCCCCGTCTCAGCTGCCTGAAACATCGCGAAGAGGGTGGCGAAGCCTCCGGACCAGCCGTGCAGCATGCTGCAGCCGAAGGACCGCGAGCATCCTCACGAGCACCGGTGATGCCCATGGGAAGGGCGTCAAGGAGCCTTGTGGCTTCCTCCACCCGTTTTTTTCCCGTTTTCCTTTGCGATTCTGCCACCTTTGGGGTCGGCGTGCGGGAAAGCAGGTGGTTCTCGAGGGATATCACCCCGTGGCATGGTAGGGAGTGCTCATGCCATGAGATTGTAACCACACAGTTAAAAATACCTATGTATATATTTATTGCGATGCTGTGTGTAGCACCAACCATGGAGTTAGCACTTTATTTAGCAAGGGGGTATTATAAAAACAATTTAAGGGACCCTGGATGCCATCTCTCCAGGCTCTCCAGCCCGCACCGGCCACCTCAGCTACGATTTCATTTAAAACACCCCAAAACGAGGATGCAACATCGAGCCGTGCTGCTGCTTTCGAAGCATGGAGCAGATGCCGCTGCAGATGTTTCCCCCCATGCGTGGCCCGACGGCGCCAGGAGGCTGCTCTACCACCTTGGATTTTTTTTTTTTCTTCTTCCCTTTTCCCAAATTAATGTCCTTTAGCTAATGAGGACGTTTCTCGCGCTGCCTGCTAACGGTGGGTACTGTGCTCCCCAAAGGAGAGGGGAACCGTCAAAGCCAAGGGGGCTCGTTGCTGCTGCCTTAATGAGCAGCGTCGTTAACCTAAGCATGGTCCGACCCCAATCCCACCCCATTTAGGGACAGCCCCGGGCAGGGCCACCACCTTCTCCCATGCACGGGCGGCAAATCTTTTCTGTTCTAACCATAAAGTGCATTTAATGCATTAAATGCAAATATTTCTATGCTGGTACCCTTTAGAAGGTGCTTTCTGCAAGACTTGAGCCCGCTCCCCCTCATCCAAGCTGGGGAGGGGTGTCCTGCACCGAGACTCATCTTCCCAAGCTCCTTGTCATCATCATCATAGTCATCATCTTTTTATTTTTATTTATTATTTCCCTTTTATCTTCTCGATGTTTCCCGTATCGATCCCTTCCTCCAGCCTCATTATCTCAGCCGGATGCTAACGTGCCAGGGCTGCTGGCGAGCTTGTTGCAGGCGGTGTTTGCAAACTCCCGGCAAATGCTATTAAGCAGAAGGCTCCCTTTAACGTCTGCGCCGACAAAAATGAATATATAAACCCCCCGGGTTCTGGTTTAGGAAAGATTTTTTTTTGCTTATTCTCTGAAAGATGCTGCCGGGGCGGGGGGCTGCAAGGGGCTTGGGGCAGTCCCCCCGGCTTCGGAGAGCTTGCAGGGGGCTTTTTTTGGACTTAAAATAGAGATTTTTGCTACCTTGAAGGGTTAGAAATGGTTGGGGTGTTGTTTTTTTTTTCTTTCAGATGTGTTTAAAGGAGAAACAGACTCATGACCCTCGTCCCAGGGGATGCATCGTGCAAGGACCGTCTCGCATGCAAGCATCCTTGCAGCTGCTTTCGCAACTCTCTGGTCCACGGAAGATGAGAAGAGGCATTTGCTGTGCCAGCATGGCCAAAACCAGGTATGGACAATGGGGAGCTGCTTCCACGATGCTTTTAATCCCTGAGGATGGAGGAGCCTCCACCCAAATCAGGCTCTTTGCCCATCCATCTGCAGCTGGAGTTATCCTTTCCCTCCTTCCTCCTCCTCCTCCTCCTCCTCCTCCGTCCCCTTTGGTAGGCACCAAGCCCTGCCCAGACACCCCGGTGGCCGATAGTCTTCAGCCCTCATCCGTGTTGCAAAGAGGACGGAGAGCGATGGCTTCACGAGCAGCTGCTGTCCTAGAGCCTCCCCGAGTGATTGAGAAGCTCCTCCTGGTTTGGGCTGGCCAGTGGCCAACGCCGCACGGCTCTCCCCGGCCAGGGGATTAAGGATGTTCCAGTCATGCTCTTGGCTGAAGGTCAGGGGATGAGTTATGCACGGCCATGTTTTCCACCTTGGAGCATGGTATGGGGCGTAGGTAGGCAGAAAGTCATGGATGTGCCGTGGTCCGGGTCCTGTGGTGGGATTGTGGCTCAGCCACCAGCCCGGAGGGCAGTCGTAGGCCCTCGGGATGAGCTCTTGCTGTAGGAAAAGGTGTGGAGAGCTTGGTGGGGTCCCTTGGCTTCCCTGGAGAGCTGCTGCGGGGAGGGCATGTCCCCAGGGTGTGCCATGGTGATAGGTCTCAAAAGCGCCCTGGTGACACCTCCCAGGGTTGCTGTGGTGGTACGTCTCAAAGGTGCCATGGTGGCATCTCCCAGGGATGCCGTGGTGGTTATGTCCCCGAGAGGCGCCCTGGTGGCATCTCCACGGGTGTGCCGTGTTGGTATGGCCCAAAGAGGTGCCCCAAAAGGGTGGAGATGTGGGGCTGTGATTGATGGGCTCTCTGTGGCTTTTTCCTTCGTCTTAAAGAACCTACTCTGCTAACCGAACGTCCCGTTGGAAAGGGGAGCAGCACGGCCAGAGCAGCCGCGTCCCTCAAGCAGAGGGTGCCTGTGCTGGGAATAAGCCGGGTTATGAGGTGACTGAGCCGGTCGCAGTCACGGGAGGAGAAATTTCCTTCCCCCCCCTAATATTTTGGTGCGGAAAACAAATCTGAGAGGTTTCTAGGAGGGGTACGTGGTCCAGCCACGGGGTTGCAAAGGGAAAGCAGCCTTGCTGTGCTTTCTCTCCCGCTTCTTCCTCCCCAAGAGCCGCAAGCAAAGCCGGTTCCCCCCCTTGCTGCCCATCATCCCGCTCCGTCACCTTTAATCAAGCTGGTTTGATTCCTCCTGGATTTTCCCCGTTCCTCGCAAGCTGTGGGTGGGGGGAAAAAAAAAAAAGAAATAAATTTATAACAGTAATAATCATCATAACAAGCAGCACGGGAGCCCGCGGGGGGGAAGGAGCAAAGGAGAAATTGCTTTGAGCTGCAAAGGCAGGACCTCTCTGAAGATGGGCTCGCCTGAGATTTGGGATGAGAAACCTGCCTCGAAAGGAGCAATTAAAAGAGGAAAGCAATTAAGTGGCTGCAAGAAAAGCGGGGTGCAGGGGGCCGGGGGAGGATGGAGAGGGCTGGGGGGTGTTGCACTGGGTGCTGCATCCCTGGCGGCGCTCCTTGCTCCTGCGTTTAGGAGCGATCAAATAATGCATGTATGTGCATTCTATATTTTATAAGTATATGTATATATATAAAAAATATTAAGAAAAAAATATATATGCGTCAGAGAAGGAGAATAATATTTCCACGGGATGAAGTTAAGGTCTTTCTGAAGGTGTTTGGTTATTAAGTCCTGAGGAAACGCGGCGGCCGGAGGGCTTTCGGCATGGAAATTATTCCATCAAACACAACAAGTGGCTGCCAGGTGGGATGAAAGCAAGCTTTGCTTGAAAATAAATACTTGACAAACCAGACCCGAGCTGTAAATGTTTTTCTTGCCGCAGCGAGCGGTGAAGTCCCTTGGGCTCAGTTTCCCTCCCCGCTCGGTGGATGCCACCTCCTCGAGCACCCATTGGAGGGTGGTATTTCCCCCTTGCTGGGCATGGGAGGAATTTAGGGATTAAAATCCTTGCTCGCTATTAAAATCCCTTCTGGTTATATATATATATATTTTTTTTTGTGTGTGTACCCCCTCCCCAGGCTATAGGGCAGGAGAAGCTCCACTTTCCCCCCCTCCCTTTGCTCTTGGAGGGGGGTGCAACCCCCATCTCTTTATTTCCAAGGGTCTCTTTGCACTAACTAGACCTTAATTACAGCAATAAATTAGTCTTGGGTCGGGCTTTCATCCAGTCCTTCTCCCCCAT